CAAACAGTCCCTATACAGAACATGAAGAAAAGCTAATAAAGCGAAAAAGGAAAAAATAAATTGTGGTGTATATATAAAACTAAACATTGTGGTAAGTGGTATCTGAGAAACAACAATTGAGAAAATTATTGAGGAATAGAAGAACCAGGACTAGATTCCAAAATGAAAGCAATGGGATAAAATATATCCCTTTAAAAGCAGCAGTGGTTTCCTTACGCCTTCCTCCTCATCCTTCTCCTCTCAAGAAGAGCTACCAAGCTCTGGAGAATAAACCCTATGAGGAGAGGCTGAAGGAACTGGGGTTGTGACCCATTTTCCACAAGTATCAAAATGCTTAAGTGTGAGGGTTTTCCTTCAGAGTTTATTTTTCTAATTATTCATCTCTCTCTGCCACAGCAATAGTGAATTCTGCCATTTTGTGTACAATCATTGATTACAATAGCACTTGTCTAATTTTAGCATGGAGGAAGAACAACATTCAAGAATTCAGAAGTCTCTGTCCACAAATGAAGCCAACAAATTACACTAAAAATAAAATGGGATAGGTTACAAAAGCAATTTCATGAAATTTCCTATGTGCTTGGATTCAACTGAGATAGAAAGATGGCAAGACTGTGGTTCTGGGCACTAGTCTAGCATTTTTTATTTCTGATACAGGCAGTCCAGGAATCTCAGTGACAGAGAAAATTACAGTCACTACAGCACTCTAAAGCATGTTGCAAATTTTTCCATTCTCATAAAGAGCTTCCCAAGGTGATATAAAATGTAACTTCACTGAAGTCCATGGAACTTCTGTGATTTACACTTTTTTGTATGTCTGACTAATTGGATCTAAAGCAAGAGTATATGAAAAAAGAAATTATTGAGCAAACTCATGCAGGAAAAAGGTTGATGAAATGCCTGCTACTATAAAACTGCATGTTTAGATCTTATCATATTCTTGGGAATAGTAAACACATTTTTCTCAGACAAAATTCCTCATGTCTCCCACTCATAAAATTCCTGCTTCAGGTCGCTCAAGTTTGTATGTTGCAGACTTCCTCTATCATTTGTCTTATAAGGTTGTGACATTACAGCACTCTTTTAACCAGAATATTTACATCAGTTATGAAAAATACTGCTATAGCTCATTTTAAAAAAAAATAAATATTTTGGCCACTCAAAACATCAGCTGGTTTTGAAGCAAGTCTGGCATTTGTATAAGAACTTCTGTTCTATTCTTCTTAATAGTTCCTAAAACTATTTTCATTTCACAAATCATTTTCGAGCTTCTTATTCCTGTAATTTAAAACAATGAGCTGTTTTGGAAAGGGCAGAACAGGGTGGACTACATTTAAAATTATTCTGCTACTTTGCTTATCTGGCTGCATAAAACTCTAAATTATATATTAAGAAAACACTAGATATTCCAAACCCCTGTCAAAAGCCTGGATATATTATTTGAGTGGACGGAAATAGTGCCTTAACAGAGTGAAGAATTCTCATCTCAGACTACAGGACAAATGTATGCAGGTAAGAACACATCAAAAACATCATCAAATACAGAAAATGAAAGGAGGTAGGATCTATTTTTATTAAATGTTTTTATAATCTGTTTCAAAATTCAGCTAATTTGGTGAGAACAAGTCAACAGTTGCAGAGTATCCAGCAGAGGTGAATTTAAGATTTATTGTAGACTCACAGAAATTTACTTCTTCACTTGCTCAGAAAAAATAAATATGCCATAAATAATAACAATGAACAAACAGGCAGATAAATGTCATTACAAAAAAGAGCTGATAGATGGGCATGGTATTTTGGCTAGTGATTTTCCATAAACTGTTTTTGTACTACTGATATCCTTACAAAGGAGACTCTTCAGCCCGCTGTTTGCAGGGAGGCTATTTGCTACTGTTCACACAGAAGCACTTAGTATTTGAAATTCTGCATTAAAAGTCAAAGTTGCTTCCACTGGGCAGATGGAATTTTCATGTCCAGGTGACAAACAAACTTAATACACCTTGCTCTTGTACATGCAAAGATACAGTGACTCTCACCCTGATAGTGTGTAAGACAGGGCAATTTGTTACTTCTAATAGTGAACTAGTCAGAGGCATATTTTCATTCATAGTCTTGACTTAAAAGAGTAATACACAAACCCTGATTGGGTATCATCTACCAAACTTAACTAATTTAACCACTAAAAAGCCTTTCTGTTCCAAGTAACCTCCATAACACAGCTCTCCCCCAAATGAAGTAGTTACACCAAAAAAATCCATCAAACCAGAAAAGGAGTAAGTTCTCATGAAAATGAACCTCCTCCTCTCAGCCCCCCACCTCAGCAGCCTGCCCTTAACCACAGAGAACAGGCAGCATCACATTTCCAGGCTGATACTGAAACAAGCTCTCAACCACAAAACTGCAGAAGTACTAGATAGTTCATTAAATTCACTGGGGACTTGGTTACAGTCAATATTAATTTTACATTAAAAACACTCCCATATAGCAGGAGCTGCTAACAAGGCCTTGAACCAACAGAAAATTAAGACTTTTCCTTGTCTCTCCCTGTCTCCTCCCCTAGTCTATCAGCTGTTACCTAACATTACCTCCTCATGGTCCAGCTGCTGCCAATAGGCCTGGCTGTGCACACAATGCAGTGCCTCTCTCCTCTGGCCAAAAACTCCAGGAACATGGTGAGCTGTGTTCCATTTGCTCATGGGATGAAGGTGAAAAAAAAAAAAAAAAA